GCCTAGCCTTGAGAGGCTATTTCAGCTTGGCCCTAACGTGTGTAGGTGAGCTCACGGGGCTCAACCGGAGTGTTGCTAACACCGACCCTAGCAAGAGCAGTGCTTCGCGTTCAATCATTTTGAATTGATTTAAAATACTTCAAGGAATCAAATGTACAGCTTTCATTAAGAATGCATTTGAGAATTTCGACTTCATATTTCGTCTCGTGTTGAGGTTACGTTGTTTTATCAAAATAACGGCAAACCTTTAACACGGAGGGTCGCGGGTTCGTTCTTACGTCTACGCCGCTGAAAAAAAGGATAAAGGGAGGAAAAGGAAGGGAACATAGCACAGTAAAACGACATCAGAGAGAAGAAATATTTAATAAATAGATATAATGATTTAATCTTAAACAGTTTTAGAACTAGAAGGTCAATTTTAAAGAAAAAATCATTACGATTTCCAAATTGACTACAATAGAACGGGAAAAATGTTCTTTCATGACAAAAACGTGTTACGCAAGTTGCCGTTTTACAATATTAATTATATATTTTTTTTCGTAATCGAGAACAGTAATAGAGCTTTTAAATTTCTTCGTTAAAGCGAAGTTTAAAGAGAGGTTCATAAGACTTAAAATATCAGGGTGCTATTTAGTTTCGGGAAACGTTTTTAAAATCACATTCCCGACAGTGGGTAAAGCTGACGTATAAGCGGAAAACAAAATCGATATCTTAAGCGTAAATACTGATATGTGTTAAAAGACAATTAGAAAATACACTCGCTGTATCGGACGTTATAGAGGACTCAACTGCAATCGCGTCTTCGTTGAGGTGCAAGGTTGAAGTATACTTGTTCATTGATGATGTAATTCGTGCCGGCCTTTCCGCCTTGAAGTCAAAATGGTTCCAAGTTCTTGGTAGCTATTGTACTTTAGGGTCCTACTAATTTACTATAAACTAAGTTCAGTACTACACAGCGTATAACTTGGTCCAAGGAATTTGTCCGACGAATCTAAACGCGCCGCGAGTTTTAAATACACTCAATAATTTAATGATAGTCTTAGAACTAGATACATGACGCGAAATGTAGTTTAGATAATGCAATTGATAAGTATCGTTTTCGCTTTCAAATTGCTGCTGAAGAAAACGTATACCCGATTGTTATAATATCTTTAAAATATTTGGTAATGTGTATGTATTTTGGTAGTTTTTTTAGGATGATTATATTCCTTGACATTTCTCTAGTGTTGCAATAAAATAAAAACAAAATCCTTCAAATCGTAAAGAGTCTACAGTGCATTACGGATAATTTCAATAGCACCCTGGCTTACAGATACACTCTAAAAGTATTTATTCATTAAGAATTTGTTAATATTACAAGTAGACGTAGAATCAAAGAAATCAAATAAAATTGTTTAACATAATATAACAAAATTTTACTTTTTCGTTTATGGCAACGTTTATCGTCAAAGATAAAAAAGGAGAATATTTTAATTTCATAGAACACTTTATGCACCAAGTCAACACTGCAACAGAATGATCATAGTTAATTATTATTTTTCGTTAAAATGTATTGTTAACATTGAAATTCTGATACATATTTCATAACGTACCGCCTTCACACTGTTACTATGTAAAGCGAATTATGTAATTACATATGATAATTAGCACCAAATAATGCTAGCAATAAACTAGTGCGGTGCCACTAAATCATCTAACATTTTTATATATCGATAAGTCGATAACCAAATGGATTTTCAACCCCTTATGTTATGAACGTTGTCACTACGAATTCGTAGTCTACTGCTTAACATACTGGAAGACAGTAAAATAATCTTTATGTTTGTACGAAATTCAAATCGGCGACAAATTATGTCTAAAACGGGGTAGGATGTTTCCGTCTTGCTTCCAAAAAGAACTTTGAGCGTGACGGTTCTCTTTACTCTATTCCTTTAGTTGCGTTAAAAAAATTCTAATTAATCTATTATGTTTAAAGAATATAAGCGCGCAGGAGAGCGTGAATATTGAACTAAATTACTATAAATTATGTAATATTATGATTTTAAAGCACATAGGTACTTGTGCCCAAGCAAGCGTTTATTAAAATAGCTAAAATGCATATTACATAATCATCTGTCTATATTAGACGTAATGTAAAAATGTATCAACGATACTTTTTAAATTCACATCTTGAAGATTGTAGTGAGAATCTATTATTTAGTTTATTTAAGTTTCAAAAACATTAACGTGACATAAAGTAGACACTAATTTTAGAATTTTTAGATAACTTTTAACCAGGATAATCTTAAATCACATTCCAAACACAAACACGCACACAGACACTGTGTAAGACACAGTACACAGCCTACAATAAATGTCCTAAATGTGTTTCTTTTTTTTGACATTTTGGCATAACCAAAATGTCTTACGCTTGGGGTTGCGCGACGTTGCCGCTGTGAACATCGCGTCACTTCGGTCACGCAATTTAAAACAAGTTGCCAGACCGCACGCTCAAATTTCACACAAAGATTTTTTTCAAGCTTGAATAGTCTTCTACTATTATTGGTCTTCATAAAAAATCTTCTTACATAAAAGCACTTAAATTTTTATTTATGTATACTATAATTATTATATTAAACTGTTTATAGAATCAAATGCACATCTCTAATAAACATCTAAATATTGTGCATACATTATACAAATTAACAATTTTATAATTATTTATGGATTTATATTTTATATCTATATCTGTATATATATTTGCTTTATTGCTTGAGACACATCACAAGTTTGCTTTAAAAGTTTACTGCCTTGACTCCAAAAGAAGATAATGTAATTTTGTTTATTATTATATCTTTTTATGTTAATATACATTAAAACAGGTACACAGTATTCATTGTATATATCAGTACACATATAATGTAAACATGAAACACTTATTAAATTTATTGCCTTTAGTATGTGCCCATTAGATAACATTAGAATTTTCCATATTTAAAAAGTTCAGTATGGAAGCTACAGGTACCAGATAAGCGAACTAAAATACTGAAGTAGTCAACCTACATACTTAATACTCTTAAGTGTGTACTTGAATCATAAAAAAACTATTAAATTTAACTAACAGGCGTGGGTGTGATTGGCTTATTATAATGTGTAAAAAAGACCACAAATACAATTTAGACAAACATGATAAATTCTGAACGAACAATATAACACTTATTAATCAAAATAACAGTATATTATATGTTCTTCTTACAGTTTAATTCAAATTTAGAATGATAGCAATAACCTTTCGATATGTTTATGCAACACATTGTACATATTATTATTTGATGGTTCGTTTATCCTCTTCTGACGCTAGCGTTAGACAGAGATAGACAGAGAAGCTTGCCATGCCGACTGGAACGTACAATATGCTCCCGAACACACTATTCGATTTGGCAATATCTTGCAATCGGACTACCTATTCATCTTTCTTTTACTACAATTGCCTATTTGCTTTTTGACTACCTCAATTTATCAAAATACTGTCATTTGTTACTATCAACTATAAAATAATTTGTTCCTTTGGTTCAATTAAAGGTATCGTTATCACTAAACTGTCATATTAGTTTACTTTTATTTTAATAATTTATTTTTCAAAACACGTGGTAATCAAGGATCGATATTTAATAAGAAAATATGTATTCGAAATAAATAAATAAAAAAACAACAACTAAAATGTGCTTTTGATTCGATATTCAGTGACTAAAGTAAAATAGTGAGGTGAAATAAAATAACAATAAATTAAATGTCACAATGTAATATAAAAAGAGCAATCATCAATAAAACATCGATATAAAGCGATTAAAATAATTATGAATTAAAAAGGAAAATAATGAAATAAAAGCGTGCTTAAAAATACATTATTAGTATGATAATAATTATTATAAAGCCTAGCATTAAGTTTACCTAAAACACAATTTGCGTTAGTAAAAGAAATAAAACTATGACAGTATAATGTCTTTGAATATTCGAGATTTTCTTATCAAGCGTAGAATATAGCATTGGGAATTGAAATAAAGCTTCACGTCTAGCGTGTTACAATTCAACAAATATAAGCTTTTGTGATAATCGTATTCATATCTCAAATACTGACAAGTACATAAAAATAAATAATAATAAAATACAATCATGAAAAATGACTATGCAAAACGGAGTTTACGTGTCGCGCTCAATTCAATTCGTTATTTATTAAATAGAAAAACTAACAATATGAAAAGCTTACCAATAAAAATCCATATAATTTAAAATTTAATTACATGTCGTTATTTGATAAACAAGTTTTGTAAAGCCCATTCACACATTAACAAATCTGTTAAGACGAATGAGAATTCTTTAAGCGAATTTGATTCGTTATATTTATGGGCCTTTATTTAACTATCAAATAGAACAAAACGATGCCTCCAATGAACACTACGCTAACTCCTAACGCTAACGCTAATTCGTAGGTTTACAGGAGGAGCGTTTAAACGAAAAAAGTTGATAAAATCTTTATTATTGCAGATATATTTATGGTTTTTTCTTGTGTAACTAGCTGATTTACTCTTGCTTCGGAACCCATCTATAATGATTTGTAATACTTTTAAAATAGTGAAGCGATTTGCGTGAAAAACGAAAATTACAATATTTTGAGTTAGAGTAGTTAGTGTTTATTGGAGGCATCGAAAATCAAAACGCTTTTGTACTTTACAGTCTTTTTTTCTTTTCTTTTCTCTTTAGTACCGAAGATTTTTAAGAGGCAAGCTTACGATTCCCCCGATAATAAAAGGAAACGCGGGTTGAGTTTAGTCTAAAAACTTAGTCAGCTGTTTCATCGCTACGTAATGACAATATAGTAAATATATTTATCGCCGCCATGTTGCTGTATTCTCGTAATAAATTAATACAAAACTATAATCCTTAAGAAATTACGAAAATTTCAGGAAGAATCAAAACAATCGTAACACTTAATTTAATTTTTTTTTAATTATCAATACTGACCGGTTTTGAAGAAGGAAACAGGGGAAATACAAAATTATGATTTTTTTCTCATAGGTTTATTTTTAAGTATTCGGGAAGGTTCAAGGTTGCACATGACATAATATATTTTTTTCAACTATCGTCTATTTTCTCGTCTCCCGCGTTTCCTCGTAAGCGGAGTCTTTTTCTTAGAAATTGACAGACAGACCTTCAGATTTTAAAAAAGACATGCACTGAAATGATTACTAACTTTACAATATTCACTCATTCTTTTGCACGCAGTCTTTATGCTGCAATATTTTTTTAATTACTCTTTATGACCGGCATAATGTGAGGCAACGAAAACTATAACCAAATAATACTTAAATGATTCGTCACATCAATTTTTACATAGCAATTGTCAATAAAATTATATTTAAATAATATCAAATACTTGAAAAGCGTCTATTATTAAATTCATAAAATAGTATACCATAAAAAATTATTGGCGTCGTTTCTGTGTAAAAATAATGTAAAATTGTCTTCATTTTAATAATATTAATTGTGCTAGTTAATTCTGTCTTTGCAATGCGATTACAATAAATATAAGGATAAAAATTATATGATAAAAAGGTATGTAAGAAGTTTTGTACATAAATGTGTACAGGTGCTTATGACTAGTACAGATTCCGGAGCTACCACTGGTAAGACAACGTTGTACATCTAAAGTACCTCATATACAGCTACACACGCGTTAATGCTGCATGTTCGTTGTTCAAATAAAACATCGTTACAGCGACATCTGTTGACGAAGAAACACAACCGCGAATGCGACATCTATGTTTCAGACCTTGGTACTATTTCACTTCCCAGTATTAGACAAGGTATCGTTTAGGTAAGAGGGAAGTTTTATTTATTTATTTATAATCTCAATAATACTGCATGTTGTTTACTTGACGGAATCGACACGAATATTACGTTATTGAAAAATATATAATATTCGTTAGTTTCGATGGATGATAAGCATCAGTATGGCACTGAGGCATTAGCAGTTTAAACTGCTTAACAATAATATATAATATTTTTCGTACAGCAAAAATGCGTGAATACTTATACTATAATGCACTGCTGAGTTGTTTGTATAAGGCTAAATTTATTTATAAGTGTAACATATTATAAGTAAAGTAATTTCAATAGATCAATGGTCGCATTACGAGATTTACAGTCAGAATCTAAAAATGAAATCGAGATTACCAGAATTCCAAATAACATCCACATCGTTTTCCTAACATTTATATTAAACATATATAAATATATATTATATTTAATAGATTTAAATGTTACATTATAAGCGGGCTGAGGTTTCACATTAGTTTGCGTTATTCTCTAATCTATTGATAATTTACTATTGGGATAATGTGTTGATTATCCCAATAGTTTATTAGCGGCACAATCGTTCACAAGAGTTTTTGATAAAACTACATTTTAGATCGGCAGCCCGCTTGAACAAGGTCGAAACGATAAAGGGTTGAAAAGGTTGTTTAACCTAACTAGATATCATTGGAAAATATAAATCATAAAACATTTTACACTGGTTAGTTGCACAGTTGTCCCGGTGCTTGGTCACATAAAAATTATCATATTATGCAACAATATAAAACTCTAATTAAATTTTGAATCAACACCTTATTTATTTAACAGATCTATACATTCGATATAGTTGGGACATACTATTGTCACCGGTCGTGTCGATCGACACGATCTTATTCAGTACAAGCGAAATGGGTCGTGAGGAGAACACGGATATTTTTTTTTTTTGTAATATAGCGACGAAATTTGTATAACGTTGTTTATTCACAGCCCTTTATCACGATCGTTGTTCGAACAAGTAAACAGACACTAAGTGAACTACACTTATCGATATTTTTGATACACTATTAATCTAATGGTCTCTGTCTTTTTGTATCGATAGCGACGATCGATTTATATTAATATATTCAAAACGAGAGGGCAACCAAGCAGCAGGACAGCCGTCCGTTCGGACCGGTTGTGCAACAAACTCTCACATTGCGCACTAGCTCTTAGAAGCACAGTAACAAGGGTGATTTTATATTACAATAAGTTCATACGTGTGGATAGATCGAGTGATTCAATGCTCGAAGGTGATATTAATATTTCGTATATCACTGAGATTGGGGATCACATTGGAGCAGCCGTACAATAGAAGGGTCGCTCTTGGCTCCTTCTATGAACTCCTCGAGGGAGAGTTTTCCGTCCTTGTTCCTGTCCATCTGACGGAATATTTTGTCGGTGCGTTTCTCTGGGGTAGATTCATCTTCCGGCATCTTCATAACGGAGCCCACCATCTTGTAAATAGCCTGAAATTAATTCAATAATATTTTTTAAATATATTTAATATTACAGCCGAAGACCGGGCTTAGTGGTGTGGATAGGGAGAGACTTATGACCAGCAGTGGACGACTGTGGGCTGATGATGATGATGATGATTGAAAGCTTTTGTTTAATGTATACTAAGTGCCAAAATAATTTTTTTTTTTATTGTGTGGATGTGTGGACGAGCTCACAGCCCACCTGGTGTTAAGTGGTTACTGGAGCCCATAGACATCTAGAACGTAAATGCGCCACCCATCTTGAGATATAAGTTCTAAGGTCTCAGTATAGTTACAACGGCTACCCCACCCTTCAAACCGAAACGCATTACTGCTTCACGGCAGAAATAGGCAGGGCGGTGGTACCTACCCGACGGTCCGCTACCACCAGTGAAAAAATATATTGTTGTTGTTTTATTTGACACTTACAGTGACGATTTCCAGCATCTCCTGCCTTGAGATGTATCCGTTTCCATCTAAGTCATACATGGAGAATGCCCACTTTAACTTTTGTTCCAGCTTGCCGCGCGACGTCACACTAAGTGCACACAGGAATTCTCTGAAATCTATAGTCCCGTCGCCATTCGCATCGAATGTCCGGAATACGTGTTCTGCGAACTATAAAATAAATCACATCTAAAATTATGTGTATCAAATCTAGGGTTACCAGACATCCCGTGTTTTAGGCTTAGATTAAAATGTCCCGGCGGGACTGACTCTGTCCCGTATTCGAACCGTACGATTATAATTGTACTGTTTTTTATAAATATGTTAAAACCGATAAAAATATGTTAAAACTGACTTGCTCCTCGGAGAAATATCAGAAAAAATAAAGAATGTCACTATATAATTTAGTTTTTTAGTTGTCCCGGATAAAAAACTAAATTCCCGTATTTTCTCTACCTATTTAAGCATTTGCCCCTTATAGGCTGAAAAAAAATCTGGCAACCCTAATCAAATGTCACGTTTACAATAACTTAACAATAAAACTCTTAAGCTCTTAAGCTTAAGGTTTTTTTTTTAGTTTATCTGCATTTGCTATATTTCTTGGGAAAAAAAGTATTTTCTCTAAAAGCAACTTTTTGTAACGCCATCTCGTTAATCTCTGAGGTACTAGCGTTTTCAATATTAGATGTTACAGGTACCACAAGGCTTCACGAGATGGCGTTACAAGCGACGATACCTATCTATATTATTACTTTTTCTTTCGGGCCATGGGCCGAACCTCCTACGAGGTATGTGGAACTGGTCCACGACTGCGAGACCGCGGGCCCAAGGATGTTTTCAGAACCCTACCCACTAAGCGACTCCCTTGCACTTTTTGCCCAAGCGTCCGACCCCTCCGAGATCACAACCCGGATGAGGTAAGGGGCCTACCGCGGTCAACACTACAACCAGACGGCGCAGCTCACCCCAAGGACGCCCAGCCGACGGAGCCTTCGATGCGTATCTAAGGTTCTGAAACGTCGGCCGTCTCGGTACGGCAGCCCGTCAGGCCGTCCAGACGGTGCCGCTGGTGTCCCAGAATACCCTGCTGGACCAGAACCAGCCTGCCGGGTCGATCTATTACATTTTGACATTGTTTTTTTTTTATATTTTGAACCCATGGAGCCGCGCGAAACTAAGTCGCCCAAGTACTTATACAGAGGCGACTTTACATAATGGTACAGGGTCTACGTTGCACACGGACTAGCGTTCTTAGGGAGCTATCGGTGTTTGCGCCGGTCTCGGCATCTTCAATGAGCCTGTTACGTTTATACTTATTCCATTTTAACAGCGCGCTTACTAGAGAGCGCTGGGGTAATGACGGCACGGGCGCTACATGGCTAGACACGTCTTTTTACCTATAATGTAAAAGATGTGATTTTCTAAAAATGAAATTTACTTTAATAGTTTGTATACATTAATTCTTGTATTGAAAAATATATATAGTTAAATATACCTTACTAGCGTCACCGTAAGGGAAAAAATTCCCGTATATCTTTTTGAACTCTTCGACGGAAAGATGGCCACTGGGACAGTCCTTCAGGAATCCTTTGTACCATTCTTGTATTTCTGCGTCTGTAAGCGTATGATTCAACTTTACATTATTAAATATTAATTATTTATACAAATTGAAGTCAGAAATTTAATACAGTCAAACCTGGGTAAGTGAGAACTGGATAAGTGAGAAAACTCTATAAGTGAGAGTGATAGCCAGGAACCGTCATTTTAAGCTCCCAAAACCTCTATTAGCGAGAAACAGAAACCTCTGTAAGAGAGAGTCGTTTTTTCCTCATGGACCTCCGTAAGTGAGACTGCTACTTATCTATACCTCTATAAGCGACAGTCGAGCTTTATTTATTTATATTATTTAGGAGGAACAAGCGAAAAAACTAATTACAAATTTAACATCTGCTATTTTATGACTCATTCTTAACTTTTGTAGAACTTCCTTCCATTGTTTTCTCGTCAATATTGAACCTATTCTATTTCGTGAAATCGCATTCTTTTCGAATGGACACGTGCGCCTGTGTACCGTCCTGTTTGCCGGACTTGCTCAGTTTATCGTTAATCAATTGCGAAGGAAAGTTCTGTTCTGCATCATGTCAAAACGGAAAATTGAAGTACTAAAGTAAATTGAAGTAAGTGATAAACTTAAAATAGTGAATGCGTTTGAATCCGGAAAATCGCGAAATGAAATTCAGAGGGAGCATTAGCGAGAAACTCGGGTTAGTGAGAAACCTCTTTAAGCGAGAATGGGATTGTGCTCCTTTGAACTCTCGCTTATCCAGGTTTGACTGTACATCACTACATTTGTATTTCGACATATTTTTTTTTTTTTTAATTTTACCTGAAAACTCCGTATTCTGTTTCAGATCCTCCAATACTTCAGGCTTGAGTTTACTATTTTGTTTACCCATTATTCTGGATTATTACCGCTTTGTTCGCACTTGTAGTTTTTGGATACGAATTTACAATAAGAACTAACACAACCGAATCTCGATTAGTTGACCAAGTTTTTTGCCCTAAAATCAGAAACAGTTCATTATTGAAATCATGTTATTATTATTTCAAATGCTTTAATTACAACACAGTCGCTTAGTCACTGAATTCAAAAGTAACAGGAAAAAAAATTGGCAATATTTTTTTCTTTTTTTTGAAAATGTAAAAATTAATATCAATTGTTGTAAGCCTTGAATACAATAAAATATATTAAATCTCATATAGGCTATTGAACTGCGTGTTTTAATTCCGGCAATATAATTTGTTGATAATATATTTTAAAGTTAGCTACGCTTTAAGATTTACCATTCTTTAATAACATATACACACAATACTCTCAAAATAACAATGAGGTAATTATTCCGGCATAAGGCAGTGTTAGTAAGGCTGCAATAGGATTTAATTGGTTTTATCAACATCCTTTGTATCAGGTCAAAATCAAGTCGAGATTCCTAGGCTTCTGCGTACTTCATTACGATCCTGTACTCAATTTGTTACTAGTCTTGCGATAGATAGATATAGTTTTGCGCTTCTTTAAAAGCCTTACGACTGTTAACATTTTAATTTGTGTTACTATTGAATTCATACAAGGAAAATCACAGAGCATGCTCGATATTTACCTTCTTGAAGTTCATAACATGATAAAAGTTAAATAAATTATACTTTACCCTTATTTTTTGGACCCTGTCTTTATCCTTGGTGTGTGATTACGAAGCGTTTTATTCGTTTGTCTAGTTAATTAGAAATTATTAATTACGGTTGGGGTTAGCGCACAAGGAGTTATGTTTCGTAATAAATGATTTGCATTAATTTTAATATGATCGTTCTAAAATTGTTCATCGTAATTGTTCATCATAATTAGAGTATTTTTGCTTCCATACGCGTCACATATTGAAATATAAATTTTCATGTGAAATAGTATATCGATATCCCTATATTTTTCGTTATATTTTATTACCACACGAATAAAATTACTATGTTTATATTATTATGTTATTATAAAAGTAATAAGTACTATACTATAATACATATTATTATCATTAAGTCGTTTTTAAATGAGAAAAAAAAGACTATTATTTTCTGGGTTCTCACTGACATATTTTATCTATTTAATAATCAATGGAAACTGGTTTTAAATGAAAAATGTTGTTCTAAATTGTACGCATTAAAACACTAATATTTGACTATTATTACATTACAATACTTTGACAAAACCGATTTGAACCGATTCTAAACAATTTCAATTCTATAGTATGTATACCAAGAGAGAACTCCTTGCGCGCTCATTAATAAATAATATGAGAATAAAATAATGATAGAGTTATTTTTATAATTTGTATATTATACATGAATAGGCAAAATGTGAATCGTTAAAAATATGTATTCTTAGTAATAAAACATAGACACAATGGGACATACTCGTAATGGTATCGAACTATTTATTATACGGTATCTATCTAAGGAATACTTAATGCCTGAAATGCGGCTAAGAGTTAGTCATTAGAAAAAAAAAAAAAAACACCGCAAATTTTACTGAGTATCTCATAGAAAATATATAGTTAAAATGAAAACTTGGAGATTCTTGAATGGAACATGCAAAGCGCTGTATCGCGTTTACGATCCGTGCCGCCGCAGAAGTTAAAAACTTCACGTAATATATTCCCATTGGGAATCAAACGTGCCGCGTCAACGATATTTCCAAACGCCAAACTAAACAGAAAATATATACTTTATATAGTTTTGTCAAGAATGTAATAAAGAGACCCACAAATGTAGCGTACAAACGTTATATTAAAATGTAGATTAAACATATTAATTAGTGCGTCGTTAAATCTGCTATTATCATTATTATTATTTTTGTTCACTTTTAAATCAGTGGTTCGTTCACTAAAACGTATTGTGCGCCTAAAACGCTGCTAGTTACATTGATATCTTAAAACTTATTCTATACTAGTACATTGATTATAGTAATAGCGTAATTAAGATGTGCTCAAGCTTCCTAAATTTCAAAAAACACTAATTATAGCTAAAATACTTTGCTTATTAAAATTTACGTTGAGGAAACGACTCTGCCACATCATGATATACTCGGAAAATTAATACGATTTACATTGAAGCCGACAGTGCGAGTTAAGAATGAAATTTTCACCGTGTGCCGATCGCACGACTCTTAGCGGATGTACTGGTCGAGGATCAGTTACTGTGGAATTATTGAAAACGCCGCTGCCGATGGCGGCGTGGATAATCAGAAACAATCTATTTTTATGCAAGTTGGGGTCAAGTTCAGTTTTCGAAGCTTCGTACAAACGATGACAGAGTTGTACCTTCGCGAATAGAAATGATTAAGTTTTCAAATACATCTAAGATAAATAAATACATTTAAAGCCATTTCTACACTACAGCTTTTGAATTACGACATAAGTTCTTCGGGATATTAATGGCCGTTGAGAATCGCATTGCGAGTGTAGACACGGCGTTACAACAAAGTCAATACAAATGGCACATCGTCAAACATATTACAAGCGTAAACTATACTAACATTAAAGTACGTAAAGCTAAGATTTGAGATTTAGAACATAACACAAGTAAAACTGGTTGTTCTTACGGTAGCGTCAGAAAAAAAAAAACAACTTAATTAGACGTCTCGAAGGGAACTCCAAAAGCACTAATCGAAGTGACGCAAACGAATCTAACCTCAAATTGCCAAAAGACATGCTCCGGTCGGTCGAAGACCTTACCGAGGGCGGTTTCACAACGCTTGTCAAAAAGATAAATTCTTAAGCCGCTTGTGTTCGCGGAAGTACTTACTGTTTCAAAATTTAAAAATCGATGCCTGTAGTTGATTATAATCGATTCAGTATATTGTAAAGGTCATCGCGTATTTAAATATCGAAGTGAACCTGCTTGTAAAAATGCACGTGTCGGAGATGATTTTATTTGCATCACTTCTACGGATTTTTCTTGATCGCGGGTCATATTACCTCGTGTGACTTCTAACACATGCACGCCCTGATGTATTGCCTACAGACAAACAGCGTGTGTGAAACTTCAAGTTGTTTCATAGAACGTAGATTGTCAACATACCACATTAAATCAATTAAAATGATTATTATCATTACCGATTTTTTTATTTAAGTTGTTTCGGAACTATTTCAATACTATTGCTTTAGTACTTGGTTTTTGATAAATAGTCAGTTTTTTTTTAAATTGTTTATTTTCCTTGTGGGCAAATGAGCATACGGCCCACTTGATGGTGCGTGGTTGCCGACGCCCATGGACTTCAGCAACGCCAGGGGCAAAGCCAAAACCACTGCCTATCGTAATGTTCCTTACGAAGATTTTTGAAGATATCGTAGAAGAAGTTTTGCGTTTTCTTTTTCACATGATCATCCGAACCCTGTACTGATGATTTGTTTTATTTACATTTTAATAAAGCTTGTAATGTGTTAGAAGTCAGACGGCATTTAAACACAAGAAATATGTAGTCAATTAATTAGTAAAAAAACAAAACTTTTATGCTCTTTCCAAATTATGAGTGATTACGCCCGTGGCATTCTCTAGACTTTGTCGATGTTGTCAAACTATAAATGTCAATGGAAATTTGCTTTATATGTGATATGTTATCCGTCACCCTATTCGCAAGCTACCTTCAGGTCCGAACGAGTATTCTTGATCCCTTTTCCCTAATGTTACGTGAATCAGTCGTCTTGTTTATTTAAATTTGCGTGACTAACAGTTACATCGATTTCTTTGGTCGTTTTTTTTAAACAATTACTGTTCTTTAAAAGAAATCCAAAATAATAATTATTATAGGTAAATAAAAACGTAACGTTAATAATAATAATATACGGTAAACATAAAGCCAAAAATAAAACGTACGAACTTATCAACTAAATAAACGCGCGGTTACGTGGAATGTTCTTTACAACAACAGGGTTCTATAAGTTTCCAGTGCACGCCTGCGCTATTTATTATAAATAGGTCGATTTGTGCAAATACAATTTGTGCTTGTCGCGTTTTATTCCATAATAAAATGCACTGAAACACATTAAAAAACTTAAAATAAGCCTTAAATTAATGAATTTCGCGACTCCTACGACTTGTTACGCGATCGTAAATGACGGTCACATTGAAATACAACAGTGACGCTCCAAGAAAAAGACACATAATAAATTATAATAAGCTAATAGGGGCGTATTCAAAACCTCGATTCAGTATTCATTTGGCCACAATGCGTTAATGAATGATGATGGTTGATTAATAAGGAGCTATTGAGTATATATATTAAAAAAAAAAACAGGTTCCGAAAACTATATTTACAAAGAACTAGAAGGCACAGTAATAGGGGTAGCGTGAGACATCTATGAAGTTAAGAAAATAATCAGTATGTTCAGTGAAACAAAACAAACGGATCACGAAACGACCGTTGTAATGTGAAAAGCGCTGAAACAACAAAAGGCTCATTAAAGATTACACCTGACATCTAAAGTGAAGATCCCTCGCGAATAATGATCTAACACCGATACGACTGAAAAGATAATTTGCATTTTAAAGACTGAGGTTAATTATATTACGTAAACTAGCCTTACAGAGCTGTACAGTGTGCTTAGTGCGAGTATTTTAACGTTCTCGATAGCGTAAACGTTAACTCATATTTGTATGGAGTTGGAACATTTGTCTACGTTTGCCGCTAGGGGCGCTGTTCTAGATACATACAAATATGAGTTAACTTTTACGCTATCGAGAACGTTAAAATACTCGCACCAAGCACACAGATTGTCGGCGTGCGGGCTTCGGTAACTGCGAGCACAGGAGCGCTTCGTTTAAACAATCTGATCTATTCTGTACGTCCGCTACACTAATTTTTATCTTAATAGTAAAATTTAAAGATTGACATTATACCGTGCAGTTAAAGAAATCCGTAATTAGGTTAGAAGGAAATATATTTCGATATATATCGAGCTTCTTAGATGATAATAAGGTCGTCTAAAAGGTGAGTGGTACGGACACAATACTTATATTTAACGGAGTGGACAATCCGACAGCGAAATACGTAAAAATACATTTATTTACGCAGACTAAGAAGGAGAACAGGATATTTAAAAATTCATTGACATCAAATTCGTTACATCAATATTAATTAAATACGTTTACGTTTTTAAACATTTAGATCAAAAAACACGAGAAGAAGCGTCTGAAAACACGCGTCGGCCAGTCAAGAGCCGCCGTTCCAATAGCGGTTGGGCAAATCCAATTTAGGTTCTGCAATTCTAGTTCTGTTTGAAGAGTACAGATCGAACAAACACGCGAGCACAATCAATCGAATCGTTCCGTGTTTATTCGCGCGAACGAAACATTTCGGTGCGTTTCATAATTAGATCGGATGTTGAACAAATACAGGGCTGCAGTCGGTTCGCGCGGATCCCGAAAATCGCGGCCGACGCGTGCTTATCGCGGCTTACTTACGTTCAATCGCCGTGATTACACGACAGCGGAGCTAAAACTAAACAAATGTATCTAAATGTGTGTTTTGCATGTATGTGGCTTACTGAATTTAATAAACAATTTCGTATCTGTTTTGCGGAGCATCTGTTTATAAATTACTACTCGATATGTGCGTGTATTTTATTTATGGCTGTCGTGTCAACACAAGGTTCGCCGCCGGGTTATCGCAGGGTACACAGGGTGGGTGGCCAGGACCGAGGACTGACACTCCTGATGGCCAATTTAAGGTGCGAGCATCTTTGAGAGCTCCTCATCCTGCAAGCATCCCTTGAGGAACTCATCCTGCGTGAGCTGCCCATCGTTGTTCTCGTCCATCTTCGCGAAGATGTTCTTGGCGCGTTCCTCGGCCGAATCGGCTGGCCGGTTACTTGAACAAGCGCCCAGCATATCGTAGATGGCCTGGAACATTTTACCAACACGTTGTAGCCACCTAAACAATTAGGATACACATACAAAATACTTATACTCTATTCCAATTACGAAGTCCTATTTGACAGATGTCATTATTGTGTTGTTGTGTGTGTGAATTAATTGTATAATGATTTAGATTGATTGTGTTTTTTTTAAATGGTGTTTACGACAATGAACAAAAAAATGATTATTATTTCCTAATATGCGAAACGTGAAGAGTTACGTTCTAAGTGTCAAAAGGGACTTCGTAATTGGAATAGAGTATAGTAACATTTTCAGGGTCTAAGAATGATAAGATTATTTTCCATGTGCGTTAAATGACAATGAGTTGCTATGACATTCATCATCAAAAACTAAGCCTTTGTCCGCAAATTCCATTTGGAACTGCAATGCGATACAAATACGTAATTCACATTACAATATCGCTGTATCGCATTTCATTAGCAAATGGTATTACAGAAATTCCAATCAAAGTGCGATTCATCCGCGTCCCTAGTTGATAATTGAAATGGAAATCTGTTTCCGATAATGTACGAACGGCATTAACAGGGGCAGATACAGAGGCGTTGAATATTCGAGGCTAATGAATCCTTTTAGATCGCGTTCACGGCGCGACACCGCACTACCGGAGCGCGTCTCGGCTCGGATTAGTTAGGTATGTCAAACGTTATAACAACGTTAGCCGCTGACGAGAGTGTTACCGCTCACCACATTCCAAACAGCTACGCATTCAGTGTAGCTTTCACGTTTACGACAATAATAATTGTTTCTGGAAATGATAAATAGTATTTTTTAACGAAATAAAAGTGTTGAATGATTAATTTTGGTAATGTACCCGAAAATTCGGATTACTTTTTATCTTTGAAGTCAAATTAAACTGTTTAAATGATGACTTAAAATCTACTAGTAAATCGAAAACAACATTTGCCGAAGTTTTTTTTTTTAAATTGACTAATTTCGCTTCCCGTATTTATTTATTTAGATTTTTGTGATTTCTTTTAATTTAAAGACTAATGAAAGGGCATTATAGAATAAAAAAAATTCAACGCGTCGTAATTATGTTTAATTTCCCTATTGAATAAGGTACAGCTTAATACGTTTGAAAGATCAGTACAGAAATTACCTATCAAGTGTTTAATTTAACGTAAGACATGATCACAGGATTAGTTACAAATACATAGAAACGCTTGATATGCATTCAACTAAACACGATATAATCTCACCCTCTTGAGTTTGCAAATGTGCAATTATCCCTATTCATTTACATTTATCAATCAAAACAATCCATTTTTTTATAATGCCATTCATTACTATTGGATAAATCTTTACTTCTATTCTCTCTATTCCGTCTATCTAGACGGAATTTAATTTAACAAAGGTTAGCATAAGATTATCAGAACCTAAGTGCCGTGATGGAAATAAAACATTATCTAGTAACATTCGAGAATGCATTCAAGTTGAAGAAAAGCGGCATATTCCTTGATAACGACGAGCGTATGAGAACTCATAATAATATGCATTGAAAGACGATATCTATTCGAAGTTACAGTCAAATGCAAGATATGTATCTGGAAATAATCCCCGGGCACAAGATCCAGCGTCGCATATCTGATACTAATGGGAATGTCGGAGACATTTTTAAAAAGAAATTCCGTCCTCCAGTATATCGGGGAAACGTGAGTTTTCTGCAAAGGAAGGAATAAGTGTCTCTCGATGCCCACTTCTTCCTGCCTTTCGGTTCGTAGATGTGAGGGTGAACGTATAGAATTTTGCAATCAAATTATATACATCGGAACGTGTGATTTCTGAGAAAATTCACCGAGGTGAATAATTTAAAAGTGAAAAGTTATTTGACTGAAACCGTTTACTAAAACAGGAGATTAGTTGGTAGAGCGGCTTGAAATTTAAAATAGTAATCGTAAAATATATAATAATATATATTTCAGTTTATGAACCGATATCTTGCCGAATTCTCTTAAAATACTGCTTCGCCTCGAAATGTCATCGCAAGCCATTATGGGCGGAGATATGAATGTTTTTCACGCAAAAGCTATAAATCACTGTTCAGAGTTCAAAAAACGTTAATAGGGAAGACAATGGTGAACAGGCTATAACATCTTTTGTGAAATTATGTATTCGTTATAAATGTTAATGAAATGTCAAATGACTAGAATTTGGAATGGGAATTGAAGCAAGCCATGTTTATTTTAAATAGTTATCTTATTTTACGAGTGTAAATGGACAACCTAAATCACGGATTTGGTCAAAACTACACGAACGAAAACCGATGAAGAAAAATATTGTCGTCAATGTATAATAGGTATGTAACTGTAGTATAACATTTAATATTTAGTAGACCGTGCTATAATAGAATTAGGATTATTCAGTTGTTTCATCTTTTTACTGGTGGCAGGACCTCTTGTGAGAGTCCGCGCGGGTAGGTATACTTGAGACCTTAGAACTTATATCGCAAGGTGGGTGGCGTATTTACGTTGTAGATGTCTATAGGCTCCAGTGACCGCTTAACATCAGGTGGGCTGTGAGCTCGTCTACCCATCTAAGCAATAAAAATAAAAGTTGAAAAACGATGTTTGATTTTTCATATATTTTTTACTAATATACTATTATAGTAAAAAGTAGACAAGGAATAATAAAAATAAAACGAAAGATTGAAATTCTTTTTAAGGCAATAGACTCGTAAAAATGATTTTCGGACGTGCAACACGGCGACTTCTGTACGTCGGTGAAAATTTAATATTTTGTCGAAACGACGGCAAGGAACGTTGTGGATACAAGCACTTGAAGTGCACTCGATTGCGCTCTCCGTGCTCCAAGAGGCCACCTTTATAATGGGGCGCGCCGGTCGTTTACTCCTCAAGCATGTAAAACTTATTTCAACGAAAAACTAGTATATCTTTATTTATTTTAGATGTCCAAAAAAAACTTTAGAATTTTCAGTGTTTGTTTGCTGACTATTATTTATTTTACTGTCACAAAAAACTCCTATATAATTATTATTATGTTATCTTCATCTCTTATTGTCTTCTAATTAAGTTTGTTACAGGTTCCAAGAGCAATTAACTTTCCTACGGGTACCCAGTACGGCATCAATTGAATCTTTTCGTTTTGTCGCCGCAGTGCATTCTCTACTTTGGGAGCAAAACTAACCGGAATTAATAGCGAACAAACATCTGATTTCTCCAAAATAGTAACTATAAATACAGCCGAGAGCAAAATAAAAATCTGGTTAAAAAAAAAAATTTATAAGACCGAGGACGTAAAATTCAAGAGCTCTATATATTTATCTGGTACCTAACAGAGCTCTTACCAAACTTTATTAAAGATTTTAAGTATAACACCAGTAATCAAAAAGCATGCGTATTTGAATCGAATTTTTTTTTGTCATTATAAAAAATTGAAATTACAAAAAAATCGGTTGTCTGTAAAGTCGGTTTACTGACAATAGTTGAACGTGACAACGTCATAAGAAAATACTGATGGAATTGTTTCATTTTTCAATTATCGCAATTATCGTTGCTATAAACAATTGACACCACATTTACTTTTCACTGAACTTCATACTTGACGAAAACATGTAAATGTATTATTGTATAGCAGCTGTCCACGCGGATGCGTCGCTCACTCAAGTAGGAGAGAGACAGATGTCGAACGCTGCCGAACGCGGAGGCCGATTGTGCCTTTTTGTCGCTCGTTGCGCGCTCTCGCTTGCACTTCAAGCCTTAAATGGAACGCCTCAGAGCGAGGTAACGCCGAATGAGTCATGTTTTTTCGTGCGTGCAGCCGGCTCCATCGAATTATAAGACGTTGTCACGTCAAAAAATATGTATGTTTTCGTTTGGTCTCTCCGATAAACGTTGAGGTTACAATATATTACGTGGAGTCAGTCTTTATTTGTATTCATGTAGTTCACATAAAATACGAACAGATAAATACGAAACGATTTCAAACGAACGTTTCTATTTTCGTCTAACACTTTGTTAGTGTTCTTGTAAGTCTTCTTCTTGTAAGTTCTTGTAAGTCTAGTACCCGGTTGTTTCATTGAAACATGGATCATGTCCGATGTTATGTCAGATTACATCATGCATAAATGAAATATGGCGTATTGTGAAAACGATCATCTTGTGCCGATCAAAAATGTCAACTGAAGTGTATTCATATTATCTATACATAGATATTCACTGTCAAACTACTGAAATACGCAATATATTTATTATTACACAAAAGTTTAATGTATATCTATCGAGAAAACGTTTGGTTCTGAGATACATCAAATATAATCTTATTAAGATATAATCTGACAGAGTAAAATGAATCTTGACTCACTTCCCGAGTGCATTCAATTGCTTTGTATTTGATTTGTAAACATTTAACAGTTCAGAGATACGAAAATAAATACATTAGTGTTTCGGGAAAGTCATAGTTGGTTATATATTCGACTAGACAGATGTATCCTACAATTTTACCTGAGTTTAATTTTGAATATATAATAACATTGTCCTTGATCGTTTGTCTATTTAGACTTTTAGAAAATTCTCGTCACCGTAGCGAGATATGATAACATTTTTTTAAGTTGCTTATAACTTTAATCCCAAGAGTTTCAATAGTAGTTTATGGTGCGTGAAATTTAATTTTGTAAAAAAAAAGAAACTGCCTATTTCTGACGCAAAACAGTCATGGTTTCCAATTTGAATAGTGAGACAGCCGTTAAGCAAAACAATTGAGACTTACACCTCATGTCTCAAGCTGGACGGCTGTATCCACGTTGCGACATTTATGGGTTTCAATAACCATTTAAGACTGGTTGAGTCTGAGGCTCGTTTATTCATCTATGCAATTAATAAAAATTGCTTTAAAAAATAATTGTTAGATAATTTCTACCATTACATATGTATATCTGTATTATTATAACAGTGTGAGAGAAATGTATAGATTGTATATAATGTGTGCTCCAACATTACGTGAATGTA